AAATGCGACATATTTTCCAATATTCAAAAATGTAGGTGCTAACATAAATTAATCCTCATTCATCAGAAAATATGTTACCTTTGACAGTTGGGAGTTTTTGTGGGAATGTTAATTTTAGTTAAAATGGAATTACACTTGTTGAATTAAAGTTTTGTACTTCCCTGAAGATGGAAATGAGTTTTTTCAATGCTAGATTTTCTTTTATAGAGTCCAACTTTACAGTCAACAAAAAGTAAAGGGGGCAAGTCTTATAGGCAAGGTGAAAACGTCACAGGTTATAGTCGAAAGCCGGGGCAAAAAAATAAAAAAAAACACAAATTCAGGGGAGGGCAGACGCCCCCAAGCCCTCGTGTGGCAGTTCCCTTGGTACCTATCTAGTATTTAGATTAAATTTTGCTGTATTTAAACTATGTAGGAATCAACTTAAACAAATATTATCCAAAATCACTTAAAAAACGTCAAAAATAATTCGATTTCATGAGCAATTTCCACAAAGTAGGTAGATAATTTTAATTAGGTATGATTACATAATTGCTACGCGTTATTTATTTTTTTTTTCGTTATAAGTTGTAGTACCTAAATCGTTCAGTCTTTCCACAAATAAATAACGAATGTATTGAGTATTCGATATTATATTTGTGATTTTTTGATTACATAAAGTTTTGATAATAGCTTTTAAACTAAATACCTACTATTTACAAAATTATAGACATCTGATTTTAATGCACTGACAAATTTGAACTATAAGGAATAACAATTGTCAATATAATCACATCAATAAGATGATTTGTGAAAACTAATTCTGTAGAAGCAAAATCAAACATGGCACAGTCAGTAGGATTTTATTTATTACAACATAACAGAGTTGTTTGTATTTCAATAAAGTGACCTTTTAGTACCAGCTACTAAACAAAAACATAAAATTTATATTTCTCTAAGTTAAATTTAGACAGTGGCGTAACCAGGAATTAATTAAATTATGAATGTTTCGGATAAATATTATTTACTGACCATAGTAGAATTTTATATAAATAAAAAGTCCCTTGGTTGTATCGATCATAATTTTTTAATAATAAATATTTTCGTAAAAAAGCTAAAAATATACAAACGACACCAAGGCTTCTCTGGTACCAAAAAAATGGCGGCCGATCGAAATTTAGTCACAGTCTCAAAATACTAATCTGATTATTGATCCCAGAAACAAAATCTGAGTAGACGAAAAAGGAATATGGGAAGAAAAAGTATGCAATCATTATGTCCTTATAACTTCATTTTATTATGCTTCAAAATCGAGAGGTCCATATTCTAAAAATGTACATTGACCTTCTAAAATATTTGGGTCAGTTGAATAATTAAACAAACAAATTACAGAAAGGTTAAATGATGATCACTTATTAATTTATGTCAATTTAAACGTTTCAGTTTTAAATTTGTGGCAGATGTGTTTTTATATTATAGTTTTTTTAATCTATAGGTATCTATAATAAAAAGATTATGTTTCAAATGGCATTATTGATCAATTATATATTAAAAAAAAACCAATAAATTTCTAACAATTTGATCATAATGTGATGTTTGTTACAGTAGCGGCGATAAGGCCGAGTGGAGGCCCCACAAAGCCGTATTTAGTGGGCGGGTTTTATCAAATAATAAAGTTCAGGAAATCTGACTGCAAAAGTAAAAAAAAACTCCGAAAAAATCTTTGAATAAAAAAAAAAACATTAAACATGGAACCAGTGGCGGCTCATGGGGAGGTTCACAGTGACAGAATATAGGTATCAGTACAGATGTATGAAAAAAACTAACAGTTTTTTACCTATATCTGTACCGGGATCTATATTCTACTGTGAACCCCCAAAATTTTGGTGACGAGCCGCCCCTGCTTGGAACAATGTGCCAATAATTTTTTAATTTCGAAAAAACGACGATTTGGAAAGAAACATTGCAATTAGCAAATTTTGCATTAATAAGTTTTTTTTACATTATTTTTTATATTTTTTTGGGTCATTTATATTTTTTAATTTTATGACGATAATAACAATTAGCAGTGGAGGATCTAAAGGGGGGCCAGAAGTGCCCGGGTCCCTATCAAACTTCATATTTCGTATGTTTTCTCTTTACGGTTGATTCACATTAAAGTCCGTTATGAAGTCATACCTAGGTTTGCCTAGGCAAAGTCCGCATTGCCAAGTCACTTTAGGCAAAGTCCGAAATTATTCGATATTTCGGACATTGCCTACACTGTGGTACAACAATCTTAAGTTTGCTAGCAGGCAAACTACGAAACAAGTTGATATTCCGATTCCAGGCGGTTGAAACTTGTCGCTACGTGTTCACATAATTGCGGCGGGGCGCGACGTCACTGAATTCTCATTCTGTATTGACTTTTGTGTTTAGTTGGGTTAAGCGGCCATTGTGTTCAGTTGGGTTTAATCTTTATTGGTTTTGCGACCAACAAGATATATGCAAGTAGATATGAGTGACGCGGGTGAAATGAAAGCGAGATTTTTGGAGAAATTAGAGAGTATGCAGAAACCAATAAATTCTTTTTACATTCCATCGATATAGAAGTACGAGGCATTAACTAAAGAAGTTGAAGAAGCCAAGCAGGTTGCCAAAAAAACAACTCTACAATACCAGCGTCTCAAACGTTACGATGTGTTACTTGTTTGAGGCATTAAAAAGTTAATTTTGCCATTGTCTGCACAAGTCACTGAAGTAAAATACTTTGTCCCCAATGAAGAATTGTTTGAGGTGCTAGATAATGCTCACAAGGAATGTGGTCATGCTGGAAGAGATATGATTAAAGCACTAAGTAACAAATATGCTAACGTAACTCGAGAATAATGCATTACACTTTACTTAGGGTTATGTGAAGCCTGTCACAAGAAGAAAAAGCACCCAAAAAGAGGAATAACCGTAAAACCTTTGCTATTCCGAGAAGTGAATTCGAGAGGACAAGTCGATCTTATCGATATGCAGACTTGCCTTGATGGTAATTTCAAATATATCCTCAATTACCAGGATCATCTTTCGAAATATCTAGTTTTGCGGCCACTACAAACGAAAAGAGCAGAAGAGGTCGCTTATTGTTTAATAGACATTTTTTGCATTTTGGGAGCTCCTTCTGTGTTGCAGTCCGATAACGGACGTGAATTTGCAAATCGCATTGTTGAAGCGTTGAAATTGTTGTGGCCACAACTAAGTATAGTCCACGGAAAACCACGTCATTCCCAAAGCCAGGGAAGTGTAGGACGGTCTAACCAAGATGTTGAAAACATATTGTTTGAATAAAACCAAGCGTTGGAGTGAGGGTTCACGTTTCTGTCAGTTACAGAAAAACAATGCTTATCATAGTGGAATCCGACAAACTCCGTTTGAAGCAATGTTTGGTGAGTAATGGTTAAGTTACTGTTTATGTTAGTAAATAATCGATTTGGTTATTTTTAGGAAGAAAAGCTCATATTGGCATTCAGACCTTACCCGATTCGGTGAAAAAGGTACTGAAAACTGAAGATGAATTAGAAGAAGCGCTTGCTACTGTTGATTCCAATAGATGGAGATGGAGCAACGAATAATCTTTAGCAGGAAAAATCCGATTCTGAAAATGACAATTCAAAACCTTTGTCAAGCTCTACACAAAACTTATGTGCTATTTGCTCTACGGAAACTTCAAGTCCTCACAAATGCAGAAACTGTGGTGAAATTGTTCACTTGAGATGCGCTCAAAGTACCAGTGGTACCAGTACCAACGATGACGAGGAGGGTTTTGAAGCATCAATTCTATGCCTCCGCTGTGTGCAGATAATTTCTACAACTATAAACAAAGAAGTTGCCTACGAAGGATTGAGAGTTCAAGCAGAGAAAATGAAGCAGGGAAATCAGTCACAGTGCCAGTTTCGAGTTTAAACAGAGGCAAAGGAGATGTCCGTAATATTCTAGGAGTTGTAATGGACAAAACTACAGATGGTTTTTATAAAATCGGTACTAAACATGGTGTAATCAGTTCTCTATATGCAATAAACCAAATTCAAAGTTGCAAGGAACAATTTTTTAAAATCGAAGACGTCCCGAACATAGAACTATCACTTCGCGAAATAAATTCTTCATTTGGAGGGGAAGGGTTTCAAAGATGTAACTGTACCAAAAAATACACCACTAACTTTTGTAAATGTAAAAGATTAAAATTGTTATGCAATTCCAAGTGTCACCATTCGACATCTTGTACTAATAAGTGAAAGTGAAATAATTAACCCTAAATTTATTTTATAATCGTCCCTGTATAATATGTACTCTGTAAGTATCATGCAGGAGCCCTAATTCTACCCAAAGAGACCTCTTTGATTCTAGATCATATTGTATGACCCCCCCTCTCCAAAAAAATGTCTAGATACGCTACTGACAATTAGTACTTATATTGTCACATAATTTTGCGGGGATCCCCAAATGTTTAAGTACCGCCGCTACTAGTTTGTTCATCTGTTGTTTATCAGGCATTTTTATTAAATTTATATATGTAATATAATATTTTCATTATTTCAATAAAAATAAGACTCAGAAATGAAAAAGTTTGGTTGGTAAATATAAATTCGAGAACATTTTAAACTATTAAACGGGTAGGTTGTTATTGTCATATAAACATTAACCAAATGATCCAAGAAATTGGTAGAAAAGTTGGTCTAGTAAAAGTTACTTATCTACCTACCTTATATTATTTGTGGCTTTTATTAAGAAATATTAATTTAAAAAATACAATTATTTTTATGGAGTAGCTATTATATAATTTTCGGTGTATTAGCAATATTTTTTAGGTAGTAATTTACGTTTATTAAAAAATGGAGGTGAATAATAAATTAATCAAGAAAATATTAAACATTTATTTCAAAGTTATGTAGCCTTAAAAAAATAACCCGTACATATTTTTTTTAAAATTTAATCTAAATTACATTTAGCTGGTTTTGCAAATGTATCAATCAACTTTTTATGTATACAAAAAAAACCTATTCCTTTTTTACTTCCGAACCGTCGCCATTTTGAAACTTAATCTTTTTTCCTTTACCGGAACTGACTATCGAATCCGAATAGTATTTATTATACAGAACACATGTTATCACAACTCCAACAGAAACTATAATCATAATTAAAACCCAAACTATCATATTTGCAATTTGCGTTTGTTCGAAAAGCGCCTTACCGTGCTTGATGCAGATAAGAGCTTCGGCTACCATTATACACCCGTACACCCAACACTGGGTACCCACTCTTTTACACGAAGTGTCCGTAATGTAACTATAATACTGTCTAACAGATGGCGCTACTATTACCCCGATCAATATCAATCTGCCGCTGACTAAGAAGTGGGACGAAGGCAGTTCAAAAACGTGCTTCAGGAAAAACGTATTTAATTCTGACGTTTGCCAAAAGAGCACTAATTGGCACAGTGAAATAATACGCATGTACGAACACTGCGGGTCTAACCATCTAACAGAAGTCCAGCTTTCCGGAGTAAATTGAAGCATGGCACGTTTTATTTTACCAGTAGTACTGTGAATTTTTTTAATACCCACCCATTTGTACTCCCTCATTTCCAGCATCTTACAAATCTTTAATCCGCACCAGATACCAAATCCGTTGCATAGTAGAACGTCCAATATCAACGCATCCCACCAACATTCTATAAAATTCGGCAATAAATGAGCAAAGGCCAGTTCTGTAATCTCCCACATGCAACTTATCGCCCACAAAATACCCATGTGTCTAATCAGAATGGCTTTGAACATCCAACCCAAGAAATGGCCAAGTGCGAATACGTCTACATGACCCCACAACCTATCTAGAGTTATATCCGAGCAATTTACCCCATATTCTTTGTCCATGTCTATGTGGAATTCGGAGAGCGACGGGTCCAACCACAAGAGGATGCTTTTGACTGTCTGGTAGTTCTGGAATAGGATGAACAAGCAGAACAGCAGGTAGATGATGCTCATGCCGAATACCATACGCCATACTGCTGGATGTGGACGTGTAAACGGTCCGTTGGGGAAGGCCAAAACTGATATGATCAAGAAGAAGAAACCGCAACAAAGAAGGCCTGCCCAGATGTTGTTTTCTAAGTTATCCGTGTCTCTGCAAAAAATATACTTCGTATTGGTTTAAAGTTACTTTTTAAGATAAATAAAAAATAAATAGTAAAACTAAAAAACACACAAACATAAAAAATAGGCGTGTATATGTATTAATAAATTTTCAGTGTGTAAAAATTTCAAATTAAATATACTTCATGGAAGCTGTAAGTGCTTCACATATTCATTGACAGAGTAGAAGCATTAACTCAACAAAAATGCTTTTGCTTTCTAAACAGATTAGTGCCAAGCTTTTTGAGATCTTGGAGTAATAGATTGTATAGGCTATAGTCCAACGAATTTTTCTTTGGCTTGGTTAAACGAAAACGATTAGTTCAAATATTGTCTGCCTGTCTAGTATCATAATTGTGCAAATCAGATTGTATTGTTAAACTGTTACTCTGTCTGTGAATTTCCGTCCAAACAGCAAATAGATATAATGGCAGAGGCATTATATGAAGTTTTTTAAACAACGGTTGACATGGTTCACGAAAACCCACACTAGCTAATAGCCTTATTGCTCTTTTCTGCAACTCAAAGATCTCATCTGCACCAACAGAGTTGCCCCAGAGAATAATTCCATAGCCGATGTGGGAGGGGAGTAAAACAGTCCAAAATATGTTGTTTTTAGAGTTTGAAAACTTGTAATATTCTTCAACTGACGAAGGATAAAAAGGGAGCTAGCTAATTTATTTCTTAGATAATCCACGTGATCACGCCAAGGTAGGTTAGGTTAGAAAACTTGTAATAGTCTTTAACTGACGAAGGATAAAAAGGGAGCTAGCTAATTTATTTCTTATATAATCCACGTGATCACCCCAAGATAGGTTACTATTTGTAAACATACCAAGTAGTTTAACACTATTTGAACTCACTCTAGGAATATTATTAGAAAAAGTAAAACTTCGTGTTTTGTCCTCGTTTAATTGAAGATTGTTGGCCATAAACCACAATTGCGATTTAGAATCTATGTCGTCAGAAATCTTCATAAGATTTGAGATATTTTTATCAGAGTAGATGTAAGACGTATCATCTGCTAACAATACAGAATTATAAGATCGTATAAAACTAGGTAACTCATTAATATAAATTATAAATAACATAGGACCAAGAACAGAGTCTTATGGAACACCATGTTTAATTAAATTAAAGTCAGACTTGGAATTATTGTAGAATTTTTTAAATAGGATTCAAATAGTGATAATGACGTCCCTCTAACACCGTAATCACAGCTTTTCTAATAGAATGTTTTGAGAGACACAGTCGAAAGCTTTCAAGAGATCACACAGTTTAATAGCTGTATGTTTTCCACCTTCAAAGCCCTCGCTATGAGGTTTACAATCTCTAGAATAGCGCAAGAAATGAATGCTCTTTACGGAAGCCATACTGGGATTTGGTAAAAAAAATATATTTTTCAAAGTAGTTATACAAGCGTTTTTTTTTATCAATTTTTCTATTATTTTGTTAAAAATAGATATTATGGAAATTGTAGGAGAAGTTATTTCCTTTTTTGTGTAGTGGCAGAACTATGAAGACTAGAGAAAAGGAGGCGAATCGGCATACTCAAAATACGGCCCCAAAAAACGCACGCTAATGAGCTTTTATAATTAACCGCATGGGCGCTGGTATTGCTTACGGTGTTCAAAATACATGGCTTCTTATGGAAATTAAAGCTAATTTTGTCAAAATAATAAAAATACATGGCTTCTTATGGAAATTAAAGCTAATTTTGTCAAAATAATAAACTTGTTTATAGCTAAATAAAGCACAGAGCATACTGTTGTAAATAATAAATAAGTCTTGCATGTTTTAATTGATAAATTATTTAATTTTATTTATAAAAAATACAAATTAGGTAGGTATGACCAAATTCGAAAAGGTTTGTTTAATGCTGAAATTTGACAATTTTTTTTTTTAATTGAACCTATATATAGTTTTAAGCGCAAAATAAAACAAAGTTAACAGATTTTTTATCGTTATGATACAAATATAAAGGACGATTTGGGAATGTACATGGTATTACCTCATTCTTTAATTTTAGCTTTCACCACATACTTTTTCTCTTACTATACGGAGAATGGTCACACTGCGCAGCTTTCTGAGAGCCTTTTAACAGGAGACAGAAAACTCCGCCATTTTGATGCATTATTACGTGTTGCCTACATCTTGGCGCAATATTTTTAATATTTTGCTTGCTGCTGTCAGTGTCACAGAATATTATTTTTGGAGTCACAGTTTATTGCTAAAGAATCAATTAGTTCACTCGAACCAGTTGAACGTTCCAAAATAACATCAAGATATTTTTCGCGGCATAAACCAACATAAACGTTTATGGTAGATTATGTTATTTAGGCATAATCTTCCGTTTTGGCCGACATCAAGGACCGGAGGGGAGGTTGTAATGACGTCACTGTTTAGCATACTCAAACATGATCTCATCCACAGGCGGTTATGTTAGGTCTTTTCCTTTGCATCGAAAGTGTAGCACTGAGCTACACCACTTCTGAAAATATCGTTCCATTTATACAAATTGTATGGATGGAACAATATTTTCAGAAGTGACGTAGCTCAGTGCTACACTGTCGATGCAAAGGAAAAGACCTGTTAATTCATGTGTTTGACAAATGACTAGAAACGGTATCAAAGGTAAAATATGGCTTTAATTTTAAAATTTAAATTAAATAAGATTGAAATTGAAGTAGAGGAAAGATACGAAATTATTCAACAATTAAAGATTGTAAATATAAATAGCACAAATAGAATTTGTTGTAATTTTTAGACAATAGGTACATTAATAATTAATATAAAATAATTAAACTCTTAGGAAAAATCGCGTGTTTTACACACACATAAGTAATTGAGGTAATAAAAAATTGTTACTTCAACTCACTGCCCACTTTCAAAACAGCATGGATTTTTCCATTTTGGCGCCAACATATACTATATATGGTGGGGGGATAGACGAACATGATCGAACAACATAATCCGTTTATGCCGCGAAAAATACCTTATCAACTCCAGGGATACAAATTCAGGATGCGCAGAAGACTGCTGTTTTATTATAGGCGGTTGTCATATGTTGTATTATCCGAGTTGCGCAGTGTATAAACTGAAACATTGAGATCAAAAGTGCCGACGCAGAGTGAGCGAACTGATTCTTTAGCTATAAACTGTGGTAAAGGCATCAAAATGGCCGCGCCCAACATACTTTGATTACTATACGGGGCAAGAGAGAGGTCCGACACGCCCAACATAGGGCGCAGCCATTTTGAACCCTATGACACAGTTTATAGGTAAAGAATTAGATCGCTCACTCTGCGTCGGCATTTTTTATCTCAATATTCCAGTTTATACACTGCGCAACTCAGATAATACAATATATGACAACCGCCTATAATAAAACAGCAGTCTTCTACGTATCCTGAATTTGTATCCCTGGAGTGGATATTATTTTGAAACTTTCAACTGGTCCGAGTGAGCTAACTGATTCTTTAGCAATAAACTGTGACTCCAAAAATAATATTCACTGACACTGACAGCAGCAAGCAAAATATCAGGTGCGTTTTAATCATCCCCTTCTGCTTCCGGAATTGTCGGTTCAGTCGTTCTAACCTGTCAGATTAAAACAAGAAAACCGACAATTCCGAAGCAGAAGCGGATGATTAAAACGCACCTATTAAAAATATTGCGCCAAGATGTAGGCAACACGTAAATGCGTTAAAAATAAAAAAAACATTTAAGATACCGCTTTTTTGCTTAGAAGGGCAGCCTACAAATTCTACCTACCTTTTTATAAGTTTTTTTTTTTTATAATATATAATCATGGGGGGGGGGGGGGGTAATTACCCCCCCCCCCGCCTCCCCCGTAAATCCGCCCTTGTTTGGCCTTCATCCTCTGCATTGATATTTGATTTAGTAGTCTCAAAATAGAATCTTGATTTCTATTAGTATGTTCATTAGACTTTTCATTTAAAGTAAAATCAATAAAAGACTGAGCATATACAGTTTTAACAAAAGTAAGCTTACTTTAGGAATTTTAATTTTTAATTTTAATACAAGCTTATTGAATAAGAAAAAACCACTGGTAAATTATGCTCATAAACAACTTTTAATTATTAAACTAAAATTAACAATTCTAATAATACCAATATGTAATACTAACAAGTTATTTTTAATTTTTTGATTTTTATTACTTAGTTAATATAAATAAAAAACTAATTTAGCGAATTTATGGTAAACTTTCAATAATATAACATATTCATTCCAATTTAAAACCAAACATAGGACAATTAATGTAATCACTACCAAAATATTAACTGGATACGTTCCCTTTAAAAATTACTTTGGTAGCAAAATCTTAAAATAGTCGAAATTTTGACATGTTCCCTTTTCCAAATTACTAATTCAATTATTGTAGAAGAGACACTTAGAATATTTTAGAGGGTGATGATAATATGATTTATAGAAAGGGTAATAGTAAACCAATTATTACCTGATCTTTATTATCAGTAATAACTGATGAACATCCACAATTAATGGTCAATTTTCACAAAAAATAATTTTATTTAGATAAAAAATATTTTTGTGAAAATCTATCATACCTAGTTTGTTTGTCCAAGTAATATTAAGAGTATTTTTTTAAAAAACATAAAAATTAACATAAAAATAATAAGCTTCTAAATGATGTTATACAAATTTAAGTAGGCACCTGATTTATTGCAACTCAAATTGTTTACATCTGTATATGTTGATTTAGTTTTATTTAAATAGGTAAATAAATCATCATATAATAATTTCTGCCTATTCAGAGGTAATCCCTTATGACCATGCCTACATTTTTAAATTTTATTATCTAAAATAATTGTATAAATAGGGAAATTTTGGTCATTAAGTTTTTATTTGTTAAAGTCTTATCAGCAAAAGCTTAATGAGACAAACAACATTCTGTTTCTGTTAAAAACATATTTGTTATCAGTTTTTGTAAATATCAATTTAAATATTTGGAATATTAGAAATTTTATATGATCTCATTTCTAATACAGATATAAACTGTATTACATTTAATCGATTATTAATCTTTTAAACAAATAAAAGTGTTATCTTGAATACAAACCAAAACAAAACTAATAAATATTTCATTCAGAATTAGAAAAATGGAATTAATTGGGTAGATGTCATTTTCTTAGTAAATCAGACAAATTTAAATGATAAAAAAATGATAACTTTGTGCATTTTAATTTACTTACATTAAATAGGTGAATAGTGTAGACAATTCTGTTTTATTATTTCCTTAGGTTTAACAAAACAAAGTACATATAAAGAAGTTATTCAAGAATTCACAAAATAATAGAAATCCCAGTTTTTGTAAATTAAAAGATGTAGACAATGAATATAATTTAAAAAAAAATACCATATTAATTTACAAATACTGCAATTTACTAGCTCTAATGAAATTACAAAAAAGAATTAATAAAATAGGACTTACCTGACAAACGCAAAATAAATAAGGGCTGCAATGGAAATCAGTAGCAAGGATATAGTATGTGGATTATAAAAAAATTGCAGAGAAATATCATCCACTGGTTTTTCATTGATGGTACTAAAACTATCATGCCTCAACCTATTCGTGGTGTCTTTAGATTGGGGAGACTTCATGTTTTCTTTTCATTAACGTTTAAATCCCAAGTTACTATGACCTTTAATACTCATCGAATGAAGATAAAATGTTGGTTTATTTTAAATTTAGGTACATGTGACATTTATTGCGAAACCATAACGTAACGTGCTGTAATCTGACTCGGCTACAAATTGATTTGTTTCTATTTTCTTTTAATTTTCAATTCAAATGTCAAATGATCAAAAATAAATTTGACATCGAAACGTCAGTGTCAAAATTTGGGATTTTTTAAAGGCAATTTCATACGATTATGCATTCCAAATAAAATGGTTGCCCGTGACAGGCACATGAAAAATTACGATATGGCAACACTGTGGATCTGGTGATTTGACAGGGTCAATGATGTAGATAGTAATATAGATTGAAAATCTATTCTTATGCATAAACCTATACGTTGATGTCGCTCCATAGAAAAATTGTTGCTCTAATAAAATCATTGTTTCTTTTTCTAATGCAGGCTTTTTCGCTTATATTAGAATCTTTAGCAGTAGCGTACGTGAACGGATTGCGTTGGGTTTTTTAAATGTGACTGCAACAACAGCGAACTTTAACGTTTTTATAAAAACCATATGACATCATTACACTAAACTGTAACTGTATAGAGCAGTGTGCTCCGCGGAGCCCTTTTTAGAAGTCACTAAGAGGAAGGAGAATATGATTTTGCTTGGAGAACTTTTCAAAAAGATTCCGTCGCCAAAAAAGTTTGAGAACCACTGGTATAGAGTTTAGTGCATCATTACGATTATAAAAATTTGCTAAGTTGGTATCAATATCATATGGTATATGTCATGTGTCATATGTCAAACTAAATGATTTTCGGGTTTCTGCTTTGTCAAGATTATATACTATTTGTGAAAAAATTGTGAAATATCTCTATTTTTCTGCAAGAAAAGTGTATAAACGATGACGGTAATTAATAAGGTAAGAATACATGTTTTTAATTTTCAAAATTTAAAGTTCAGTCAGTTTGTCTTTTGTTATTTTCAAAATGTCATTATTTCATTAATATTTTTCAAAAATTTTGGTAAAATGGGACAAAGTGGGTCCCTTGCAAAATTTAAAAGAAACAAAAAGAAAAAATCTTCTATAGAAGACAGTTCAAAAAATTTAGAAAACAAACCACAATCTGAAATACCCCTAGACATGGCTACAAGTGTAGAAACACCGCAGAGAGTATTTAATAGATTATTCCCAATTTATTTTGTTCTTATATTATTATGCAATACCATTTTAGATGGAGGTGGATGGGGCCCTCAAAGGTGAAGGATTTAGATCATATTATATCACCAAAATTGAAGAGTTACAGCTTATTGTAGCTGAAAAAAGTCAAAATCTTCGTAGGTTACAAGCTCAAAGGAATGAACTTAATGCTAAAGGTAACTTTCTTTTCAATAGATTTAAATGATAAAAGAATGTTTCAATTAAATATTGATAATTTTTTAGTTCGTATGCTTAGAGAAGAACTGATGCTTCTTCAAGAACAGGGAAGCTATGTTGGTGAAGTTGTAAAACCCATGGACAAGAAAAAAGTACTTGTCAAAGTACACCCTGAAGGAAAATTTGTTGTTGATATCGATAAAAACATTGACATTAATGATGTCACACCAAATTGTAGAGTAGCCCTTAGAAATGAATCATACACATTGCATAAGATTTTACCCAATAAGGTATAGTAAACCCTGTCAAATAAGTAATGATTACTTGCAATATGTTTTGTATTTTTAGGTTGACCCATTAGTATCACTTATGATGGTAGAAAAAGTACCTGATTCTACATACGAAATGGTTGGAGGTTTAGATAAACAAATTAAAGAAATCAAAGAGGTTATTGAGCTGCCAGTAAAGCATCCAGAGCTTTTTGATGCTTTGGGTATTGCCCAACCCAAGGGTGTATTGTTGTATGGCCCTCCAGGTAAATTAAATAAAAAGTTTAGAGAAATAATTTTTTTTATATATATTAACACTAATTTGAGTAGAGTTCTTTAATTTTTTTGAAGAATTAGTTTCTGTGGACCATGAGGTGTCTTGTATTTATTTCTTGGTGTTTTTGCCTAGATGAATTAGTTATATATATTTTTTAAGGAACTGGAAAAACTCTGTTGGCCAGAGCAGTAGCTCATCATACAGAATGTACATTCATTCGAGTATCTGGTTCAGAATTGGTTCAAAAATTCATTGGAGAGGGCTCCAGAATGGTCAGGGAGCTCTTCGTTATGGCCAGAGAGCATGCACCTTCCATCATTTTCATGGACGAAATTGATTCTATAGGATCTTCTCGTATTGAATCTGGTAATAGTGATTTTTAAGAAAGAAAATTATAAATATCTAATAAAAATTATATTTTTATAGGCTCTGGTGGTGATTCTGAAGTCCAAAGAACCATGTTGGAGTTGTTAAATCAGCTTGATGGTTTTGAAGCAACCAAAAACATTAAAGTCATCATGGCTACCAACAGAATAGACATTCTTGATCCTGCTTTGCTTAGACCTGGAAGAATTGACAGAAAAATTGAGTTCCCTCCACCGAACGAAGAAGCCAGATTGGACATTTTGAAAATTCATTCGAGAAAAATGAATCTAACTAGAGGTATCAATTTAAGGAAAATCGCTGAATTAATGCCAGGTGCTAGCGGGGCTGAAGTTAAGGTATTTTTTTTTAATTTCTTTTGAAAAGAGACAAAAATAATTAAATGTCATGGAGTTGGTAAATTAAATTTTTAGTCTGGAACAGAATTAAAATGTATTTTTTTTGTAGGGTGTTTGCACAGAGGCGGGTATGTACGCTTTGAGGGAGAGAAGGGTTCATGTGACACAAGAAGATTTTGAAATGGCCGTTGCTAAAGTTATGCAAAAAGATTCTGAAAAGAACATGTCTATCAAAAAATTGTGGAAATAACTCTCGTCTTATTGCCTATTTAATTTTGTATGTATTTTTTAAGAAATAAAATGTCTTGCAATAGAGTGTTTATTTATTAAATTTTTTACATTTTGTCAAATTTTTCGAATACGGTCCATTTTAGGAAAATTTTGTATAGAATAAAAATTATAGAGAATAATATTAGAAGTAAGTTTTATTTAAAGAATTTTCTTCTCCAAACGTAAATAACAGATATATTTCATAAAATATAAAAATGACTCCCTATAAAGTACCCCCCAGATGTTCAGACTCTTTCCAAAATTTAATCAGTTCAACTCGGGTCCTAATAAAGCATGAGTTTAAAATTTAAGATTTTTTCTTTATCCATTTTTGAGTTTTCTTCAAAATGTTCACTTTTTCACAAATATCTCGAATACGGTCCATTTTAGAAAAATTATGCATGGAATAAGAATTGTAGGGAATATTATCACAAACAACTTTTATTTGAAGAATTTTTTAAAAAATTGATTATTTTTTACATTTTGTCAAATTTCTCGAATACGGACCATTTTAGGAAAATTTTGTATATAACAAAAATTGTAGAGAATAATATTATAAATAACTTTTACTTGAAGAATTTTCTTTTCCAAACGTAAATGACAGATATATTTCATATAATATAAAAATGATCCCCTATAAAGTACCCCTCAGATGTTCAGACTCTTTCCAAAATTTAATCAGTTCAACTCGGGTCCTAATAAAGTATGAGTTTAAAATTTAAGATTTTTTTCTTTATCCATTTTTGAGTTTTCTTCAAAATGTTCACTTTTTCACAAATATCTCGAATACGGTCCATTTTAGAAAAATTATTCATGGAATAAGAATTGTAGGGAATATTATCACAAACAACTTTTATTGAAAGAATTTTTAAAAAAATTGATTATTTTTTACATTTTGTCAAATTTCTCGAATACGGACCATTTTAGGAAAATTTTGTATATAACGAAAATTGTAGAGAATAATATTATAAATAACTTTTATTTGAAGAATTTTCTTTTCCAAACGTAAATGACAGATATATTTCATAAAATATAAAAATGATCCCCTATAAAGTACCCCTCAGATGTTCAGACTCTTTCCAAAATTTAATCAGTTCAACTCGGGTCCTAATAAAGTATGAGTTTAAAATTTAAGATTTTTTTCTTTATCCATTTTTGAGTTTTCTTCAAAATGTTCACTTTTTCACAAATATCTCGAATACGGTCAATTTTAGAAAAATTATTCATGGAATAAGAATTGTAGGGAATATTATCACAAACAACTTTTATTGGAAGAATTTTTAAAAAAATTGATTATTTTTTACATTTTGTCAAATTTCTCGAATACGGACCATTTTAGGAAAATTTTGTATATAACGAAAATTGTAGAGAATAATATTATAAATAACTTTTATTTGAAGAATTTTCTTTTCCAAACGTAAATGACAGATATATTTCATAAAATATAAAAATGATCCCCTATAAAGTACCCCTCAGATGTTCAGACTCTTTCCAAAATTTAATCAGTTCAACTCGGGTCCTAATAAAGTATGAGTTTAAAATTTAAGATTTTTTTCTTTATCCATTTTTGAGTTTTCTTCAAAATGTTCACTTTTTCACAAATATCTCGAATACGGTCAATTTTAGAAAAATTATTCATGGAATAAGAATTGTAGGGAATATTATCACAAACAACTTTTATTGGAAGAATTTTTAAAAAAATTGATTATTTTTTACATTTTGTCAAATTTCTCGAATACGGACCATTTTAGGAAAATTTTGTATATAACGAAAATTGTAGAGAATAATATTATAAATAACTTTTATTTGAAGAATTTTCTTTTCCAAACGTAAATGACAGATATATTTCATAAAATATAAAAATGATCCCCTATAAAGTACCCCTCAGATGTTCAGACTCTTTCCAAAATTTAATCAGTTCAACTCGGGTCCTAATAAAGTATGAGTTTAAAATTTAAGATTTTTTTCTTTATCCATTTTTGAGTTTTCTTCAAAATGTTCACTTTTTCACAAATATCTCGAATACGGTCCATTTTAGAAAAATTATTCATGGAATAAGAATTGTAGGGAATATTATCACAAACAACTTTTATTGGAAGAATTTTTAAAAAAATTGATTATTTTTTACATTTTGTCAAATTTCTCGAATACGGACCATTTTAGGAAAATTTTGTATATAACGAAAATTGTAGAGAATAATATTATAAATAACTTTTATTTGAAGAATTTTCTTTTCCAAACGTAAATGACAGATATATTTCATAAAATATAAAAATGATCCCCTATAAAGTACCCCTCAGATGTTCAGACTCTTTCCAAAATTTAATCAGTTCAACTCGGGTCCTAATAAAGTATGAGTTTAAAATTTAAGATTTTTTTCTTTATCCATTTTTGAGTTTTCTTCAAAATGTTCACTTTTTCACAAATATCTCGAATACGGTCAATTTTAGAAAAATTATTCATGGAATAAGAATTGTAGGGAATATTATCACAAACAACTTTTATTGGAAGAATTTTTAAAAAAATTGATTATTTTTTACATTTTGTCAAATTTCTCGAATACGGACCATTTTAGGAAAATTTTGTATATAACGAAAATTGTAGAGAATAATATTATAAATAACTTTTATTTGAAGAATTTTCTTTTCCAAACGTAAATGACAGATATATTTCATAAAATATAAAAATGATCCCCTATAAAGTACCCCCCAGATGTTCAGACTCTTCTCAAAATTTAATCAGTTTACCTTAGGTCCTAATAAAGCATAATTTTAAAATTTAAGATTTTTTTCTGTATCCATTTTTGAGTTTTCTTCAAAATGTTCACTTTTTCACAAATATCTCGAATACGGTCCATTTTAGAGAAATTATGCATGGTATAAGAATTATAGAGAATATTATCACAAACAACTTTTATTTGAAGAATTTTTTAAACAATTAATTTTTTTTTACATTTTGTCAAATTTTTCGAATACGGTCCATTTTAGGAATATTTTGTATATAACAAAAATTGTAGAGAATAATATTATAAATAACTTTTATTTGAAGAATTTTCTTTTCCACACGTAAATGACATATATTTCATAAAATATAAAAATGATCCCCTATAAAGTACCCCCCAGATGTTCAGACTCTTCTCAAAATTTAATCAGTTTACCTTAGGTCCTAATAAAGCATAATTTTAAAATTTAAGATTTTTTTCTGTATCCATTTTTGAGTTTTCTTCAAAATGTTCACTTTTTCACAAATATCTCGAATACGGTCCATTTTAGAGAAATTATGCATGGACTAAGAATTATAGAAAATATTATCAGAAACAACTTTTATTTGAAGAATTTTTTAAAAATTTGATTTTTTTTACATTTTGTCAAATTTCTCGAATACGGACCATTTTAGGAAAATGTTGTATAGTACAAAAATTATTGATAATAAAATTATAAGTAACTTTTATTTAAAGAATTTTCTTCTCCAAACGTTAATAACAGATATATTCCATAAAATATAAAAATGACCCTCTATAAAGTACCCTCCCAGATGTTCCGACTTTGTCCAAAATCTAATTAGTTCACCGCAAGCTGGAATAAAGTTTCTTCTTTAGTTTTGTATGGACCCAATCCTTGCGGATTGTTTGCCCAGAGTATATTTTGCTTTGGTTTTTATTTACTGCAGAGTTGCGTCGCGACGCGTCTGACTTGCTGTCATCGCTCGTTCCAGATTTGCTAGAATAAAACTTATAATTTAACACTTATATCTTTAAAAAAAGCATTAATTAGCGAGATACCGTAAGTTGTTAGGTTGTTAAGTATGTTATCTACATTTAAAGCTGTTAGTGTTGGATGCAAGCCTAGCATATCAAAGTAAAATCTATTTCTTCGCTGATAAAATAATAAATAAAAAAAAGAAAAAAATTGTTATTTTTATATATGAAGAGTCATATACTTATTATAAAAGAACCTAATTAGTTCATATTCATTTTTGTAATTATTTAAGTCGCATTATATTATATCTTTTTAAAACCTATTTATTCAATACATTAACATTAAATCATGTATAACAAAAGTAAATAATTCGGCAGCCTATGCGCAACCGGTCATAAATAGGCTACTAGGTTATCTACATATAACATTATCCTTTGTAAAAATAATTATTGTTCTAATAAAAGTGTATTTATAATGTATATGTATGTACACCATAATGCTGAATAAAGATTATTATTATTATAGTCATTTCTACATTCTAATAATATATGTTGTAAGCTGCCTACTTCACCACATTCACATATGGGGGACTCTTTTACTCCAATTCGAAATAGATGTTCTGGTCTATTATAATGTCCCATTCTCATCCTGCAAATCATAGGCGCCGGAACTCAAAAATTGCTTTGGGTGCCCGGCTTCTATGCGGGAAATGGGAGCTCCTTCCCCCCCCTCCACGCAACATTTAGGGTCACCACACCGGTTTTTAAAAGCCATTTTAAAACGTTGACTTTATGAAAATTTTCTTGAAAAAAAAAAGGTATTGTTCAATGTCAAATTGCTGGAGTTTTGAGGATTGAAGCAGAAGACGGGAGTATCAACAATCGGTATGCGTGAGGCTCCCACCTAAATCGGGATATCTGGCCTCTGGAAACCCTATATGCTCGGTGCAGCCATCACTGGTATTCAGTGGTGCTGCGCGGCTAGAGTATCAAAGAAATAAGTAGAAACAATATAAATAAAACATTTATTCCCAGACAGCACACCAAATCCTTTGGATATCTACTGAACATCCCAATATCCACTGAATATCCAGTCCATGGTGTATATCTATTTTATAGACATGCAAATGTCCATAAATAATAGTAATTATATAGCAAATTATTAAAAAATTACGCCATTGTGGCTAATAGTACCGTTCAGATATTTAAAATTAATTTTTTTAAGGTGTATTCAATATTTCATGGACATCCACTAAATAATCAAAGTCTAGGCGCGAACGCAAGCCATCGTGGATATCCACTAGATGTTATTTGATTCTGCTTACTAAGTATAGATGGCGATACCACTTTCGCATCTACTCATGCTCAACCCGCCGTAATTGAGTTCGATCGAAATTTGTTTCCCAATTAGACTCCATTAGAGACTGGAGTCGAGAATTTCCATTTATTGCTGAAGAGTCCTAACAAGGATGACTTTCTCCTTAGTGGGCAAAATCAAAGGCAGAGTGTTGAAAATATTTTTTCTCTGCTATTTTCTTTCGCCGTTATTCAATAAACATTGGTTACTTTTATGAACCTCTACTAAAGATACCCATAAAATATTTTGCTGAATATCCGAATTCTTCTATATACTGGGATATAGACGGACATTTGGTTGGATATCCATATTGGATATCGACAAAATATATTCTGTGGATATCTCTGGGATTTCTCGTATTGTCTGGAAGATACCCATTAGATATTTTGCTGGATAATCCATAGGATATCTTCTATATTCTGGATATAGACGGACATTTGCATATCCATATTAGATCCACGGAATATATCTGATATCCTGTGGATATATTGGATATCCACAAAAGATATTCTGTGGATATCTCTGGGATTTGGTGTGTTGTCTGGGTTAACTATCATGAATTTAGAAGATTTTTGATGATTTATTAATATACACATAAGGGAGTATTGTATATATACAGAGTGGCCATTTGAAAACGAAACGGCCAATTTTGGGCACCTCAGGTTATTTACGAAAAAACGCTGGGACCCGTCAATTTTTGATTTTAGGAATAAATATTTTTTGCCAGTTTCACCCCTTAGCAGGGGTAAAACGTCCCCCTTAAAACTTATTTTGAAGGTATATTTACCTAGATTATAACCTCCGAGTTTTAAATCGCTAGTGTCATAAATTATCCGTTGTTTGCAGATTTTCCAGTGATGTTGGTTGGGTGGCATAAGTTTTAAGTGGCCTCATAAAAAAATCTAACAGGGTTAGATCTGGAGACCGTGGGGGCCCACTCAATACTTCTTCTTCTTCTGATCAATTGACCTGGAAACGTTTGATCCAAATACTGACGAACAGTACAACTGAATTGCTGTAGTACCATCACCGGTAAGAGTAGGTATACCTTGGAAAACCCTGGTTTTATAACTATTTCTCTTCCACATTGTAGATATTTTATAATTTTTTTTGGAGCAGCTCATTGGTTGTGTCGAGAAATAAAATTATTTGTTATTATTTTTAATCAGGCCTCGTATATCAAATTATATATTCATGATTATATAATTTCTACCCTTTAACTGACTGTTTTCATCCATGTATCTAGGATTTACGTGTAAAGAGAATGCCCGTGTATTTAATCCAATAACGTTGTGAAGTTGGCAGAGACGCAATCGTTATTTTTTTTCACAGTTTTTGTAGTCACCTACGTAAGTGGATAAATAACTTTTATAATCGTCAAAAATATTTAAAACTAAAAGTAAGTACTTCCCCTTCTATTTTTTAATAATACATTATTAAACTTAATTAAAAAAAATTAACTATAATTATCTAGTAGGGTCTCAAAGATTGTGCGTGGAATAGTTGAAATTTCCAAAAAAAATTGTGAAATTATCATAGAATCTTATAGTCGGAGGGCTAGTGAACATTTCGCGTCATTATTCGAAGAAGATTAAAAATTTAATACACAGGGTGCATAATATTTTAGCAATATATTCAAAATGAAGCGTGATATCTATATTTTTATACCTTTTTTTTTTCTTTGGCCTCTAATTTTCGTCTGATAATTAAAATACACCGTCAAAAAGGTGTATAAAATCTAGAATAATACATTTAATTGTCAGACAGGAGCAATTTTTGTCTGTCTGACAATTTTTATGGTTATTCATGTACTTTAATTCAAGCAAAATACGAAGTTGCAACCAATTTGGGGTGATCTTACAGTCCTTTCTGCATGTCTCCCAGTCGAAACGTTTGAGATGACAACTCATTACCCCTTGTATAGCAAATTTTTAGTAATCTCAAATAATGAAAGAAAAATGTTCACTAGCCCCTACATATTTTTGGATGATGTAAAAAAACTTCTATTTTGTGCAGTTTTATTAATAAATAAAGTAGGTAGAAAATTTAAAAAATTGTTGTTTCTTATTAGAAATGATGATGGACTATGACAGAATGTCGTACATTTTCGGCAGTTTCGCCAGAAGAAGACAAAGCCAGGAACCATCTGGCGCTAAGAGACGTTCTATGGACCATACAAAGAAGCTCAACCAGGATAAGCTGAGTCCGCACCAATCCAAAAAGCAAATGGTTGCGTTTCAAAGAACGAAGAGTACCTTGGGGTACTCTTTCGACGATGCCAAATTCAGGTTATAAATACAATAGTGTCACAATTCAAATAATTTGATTTTTAGAATGTAAACATTACATTATTTTTTCTAGTCTTAGGTTCATTCTTGTTAATCTGCGTTCTTAAATTATACATATACCAGAACTATTTTACTTTGGAAACTTAGAAAAGACCTCTGGTTATGTATTCTTTACCAATTTTCTGGTTTCGTACTAAAATCTAATGTCATTTTTTAATAATTGTATTAACGCTCTATGATCTGTATGTACTAAAACCTTTTTTCCATCGAGATATGCTTTACATCCTTAACAACTGCTAGACATTCTTTTTCAGTGAAAGAATAATTCTTTTCAGCTTTTGAATAAAAATGTTGTGTATGAACCTCATTTTTCAATCAATAAAAAATATTTCTAAAGTAGAGAGTGACCGTCAAAAACAGAAGAACACGTGATAAATACGCATTTCTCTAAATTAAATCCAAACACTTAAAAAGACATGCGTTCAATTGTCCAAGGCTAACTTTAGAAACATTTTTGTGGGTTGCTCCAAATTTTGAAATTTTTGGATGGTCGGTTGCTTTTTAAACCAGTTATCGTGTAAATTCTTTGTTTACTATACTTGGACGTCTTTACAATTAGGATCTAGTAAGAAATTGTTGCTCAACTATTTGACATTAGTACATTAATGACATATACATCAATGAAAGTTGATATTGCAGGTGTCCAATGTGCAAAAAACAATTTGAAGATCCCAGAATATTACCTTGTCTTCATACCTTTTGCTTGAAATGCTTAGAACAATTTGAAAGAACGGATTTTACTTTATGGAAAGATGATGATGAAGGTAAGTTTATCTATTGCTAGGAATTTCAAAAAGTTCATTTCCACGCACTAGAAAATAGCTAAAATTTAGACCATTTAAAAATATTGCCTGCCTATAAATAAAAAATTGTTGAAATACAGAATTATTGTTCGAGTTTGAATCGAACATATTTTTCTCATTATTTTTAACCGAAACCCTATGAATTCAATCTTATTAACTTTGTCTGATGAAAGAAGCCATTTATTTAAGCATCATATATCTGTTATATAATTTTATTTCACGTGTATAAAATGATATAAAATAAAAATACCATGGGAAAATATCTAGTAGGTTTAAATGATATTTTAAGTTTTTTTTTTTTGAATTTTTCTCAAAGAATTTTTGATTATAGGAGCAACTATATTGCCAACTACATGCAATAGGTTAACTTTTAAAATCTTTCCCTACAGAACCAATGCAATTGACAGCTATTGAATAGGCAAATAGACGATAGAGGTGTAACATATTGTATAACTTCAAACAATATAGTCACAATACATCAAACAATACCAATATCGTGGAGTAACAGTAAACAATAAATCACAGACCTTTTATATATTGTTTACAATAAATTAAACTTACAACCAACTCCATGCTTACGACGCAATTGGATACAAAACAATCTAGTGCTCTCAAAAAAGGACCTAATAATATACTAAAACCAGGAAATTGATATCTATTTCATAATGCTTTAAACTCTTCATTGAATGAAAGAGTAAAAGTGCTACCAAATAATTGACTAAAAAATACATCATTATCCCTCAGATGATGATTGAATCAGAATAGGATAATGTTGAGAATATATACCCTACAGATGTTTCTCATAGCCCTGGGCTGTAGCAAGGTTCTAGGCCCAAAAATAAGGATCTACTCCTAATAGATTAAATTCTGAAGAAGTTGGACATTTGTTCTTTTCAGATTTATTGTGGGTCTCTGTTATTTAGAGCACGAAGCCCTCAAACATCTTGAAAGGGTAGAGCTATCATCCAAATCAATATGGAACTCCCAACAGGCTTTCAAGGCCATGGCAAATGTTATTCTTGAATCGTTACCTGATTTTTTGTTATTTTATTTTTTCTCTTGTTTTTGTCTTCATCGTTACCAAGATTCAAATAGGTAGGGCGCTAGTGCGCACAGGTTGTCGATTATGATCATAATGTGATGTTTATTATAACGTCGGTTTCTGACATTGATATTTGGTTAACCTCAAATAAAATTGACTAAGAAGTCTTAAACTAAAATGACATAAAAGTCAAAACTAAAGGTAAGACTTGCTTGTAATGTCGCCACAGAAGGAAGTTGAGAAAACTCTAGCCAGACCCAAACCCACATGTGGTATTTCATGTCAATATGTTAAAGGGGTTCTAACGATATTGCCATACGCTCCAGGTGGAACTTCCTGGACTCAAGTAGTTTGGAACATTCATATATAGTACATCGTCTTAGAGCTTCTTTAGTTGAGTTGGTTTTCTGATTGCTAAAGCTTTCTATGCTCTTCAGTTTTGTCTCTGAGTCCTCCCAGATTCATTTTACAACCAATTTAGGATCTACTAAACTATATCGATTTTTAGCTCCACAAACTGACAGCTCGTCGGGATCCAGAAAAGCGAGTTCTGCGGGCTCAGGTTATGTCAGCGAACGTCCTGATGATCTGAGCCCTGGAAAATCATTCTATTGTCCTTCGTGTTACTCCAGTATCGATTTGCCGGTAGAGGGCGCTATGGGATTTCTTCCTAACTATCTGTTGAAACATAAAATTTTGCTGGGTATTACGAATGCCAATAATGAAAATCAAGCTTGTGGTATTTGTATGTCTGATAAATCTGTAAGTATTTAAAAACTCTACCTTACAAAAAACTATACTGTATCATCATAATTTTTAATTTTTACCATTTTAGGTAACTTTTAGATGCAAGGACTGCTCACTGAACCTCTGCGATGTTTGTGAAGAGGCACATCACAGGCAAAAAGCATCTGCTGAACATAAAATATCGATGGTAGATTTAGGAAGAGACAGAGAAACCAAACAACCAATGATGTGCTTGAAACATCCCGACATGGAGATGACATTGTTTTGTTCTTCTTGTTATCAGGTGAAGAAAAATACAAATTATGACCTCTTCTTATTGTGGTATATTTCTTTTTCGTTAAATTTACCTTTAATATTTTATATTGTTCTATTCTATTGTATTTTTTTATTTTTAGGTAATCTGTAAAGATTGTGCTTTCAATTTTCATCGAGACCACAATTGCGAACCGATTTCAAAAGCTGTTAAATCACATTTTACAAAATTACGGTTGCTGGCAGATCGAGCAAAGAACGTGGTAGAAGATTCTGCTGTAGCTTCCAGCAAATTAAACGCTACCTTTAAAAAAGTTGAAACACAGTGTAGCTCTGTTCAGAGTGATGTGGAGAAATTCATAGAGGAGTACATACAGTCTGTGGAGAATCATAAGATTGGTCTATTGGACCAAATTAAACAGGTACTATCAGAATGAGACAAAATAATACTTCTAAAGAACCATATTTTTAGGTCAGAGAAGAAAAGCTCCAAAACATTTCCCAGGAAAAGGAAAAACTGCAGAAAAAACTTCGAGACGCTAGAGATGTCTCGTATTTTCTTTCAGATCTTTTAAACGATGGATCCGATGCTGAAATTTTGACTTATTTGCAAACGATATTGGATAAAATTGAGAAGTGCGGAAATTTTGATGCAACAACCGATTTAAAGTTATCGGGATCGTTACATTTTTTAAAAGAAGAAACCGTTAAGTGTCCTAATAGTTTCTTTACAATTTACGGTGTTCTCACAACGCAAAGTGTGTCACCGGAAAATTGTTTTTTAAATACAACAGGTAAATATTATTAAGACTTCTCTGAACAATACTAAAAATGTGCTGTACTTATTTACATTTTTCAGAACTCCAAAGCCTGAGAGTAGGTAAAAAGGTAGAGGTACTTCTTGAAACCAGAGACCACGATGACATGTCTATAGAAAGAGGTGGGGAGGAAGTAACAGCGGATATTCGCCATCGGGAAGCTGGAGTTTCAAAATCTCTAATAGTAAAAGTTAAAGATAAAAGAAACGGAACATACCTTATTTCTTTTGTTCCCGATGTACCCGGAAAACTGGTTTTAAACGTTTATATTAAAGGACAACCTGTAAAGGTTTGTACGAAAAACTTGTTCTCAGACAAGCTTGTAAATTTGATTTTGATTAGTTTTACAAAGTTCTGTAAAAGTGGTAAATTTACTCGAACTTATGAAGAAGTAGAAGAAGGTACTACAAGCGAGCTTTGATTTTGCTTACTATAGTCTATTTTTATGTATGAGAGAGTAATAAAACAGCATTTCTAATGCAAAACTTAGTACGGTAATTTTAAATATTTTTACAGAATAATCTAAATATTTCCTAAAATTGTAATAAATGTACCTGAGCTATTACAAGTTCTAGGTCTTTAATTGGTCCTTTATAAACATAAGCTGTACAGAACAATAGAAAAAGGTTTGGACAGGCCAAAAGCCCTGTGTATTAAAGATTACATAGCCGTATCTTAAGATTATTTTCAATAAGTACCTATTTGTCAATTTTGTTTTATTTAAATTCCAAGAATTTCTTACAGTAATCGAATTATAAGTAGATAAATACCTTCCCAACAAATTTCACCGAAAATGCGATTATAGGTTTTCCATTTAGTAAGGAGGTCCAAGTTGTGTATTCTTGACAGTTTACTAAATGTCGTTTAGTTGCAACTTGCAGTGTGAATTCTAGTGTGATCATGGAAAATTTGAAAGGGCCGCGTAAACGACAAAAAATCGGTCCTTTAACAGTTAATGAAAAAACATTAATATTTAATTGTTTTAAATCATTTACAAACATTTATGTAAAAGTGTTGATGACACAGTGGAATTAGTTAGTAGTACGCTTGGTGTTGGGAAATCTACGATTTACAGAGTTGTTAAAGAAGAGAAATGTGGCGAGTTTCAAACAGCACTTAAAGCTCCAGGAAAACCAAAATTTCAATTAGAAAATCTTTTGAAAGAAAGACTTCGAAGGAAAGGACATGCGTTCTTCTTTAGAAAAGAATTTCCGACAGTAGACAAAGTTCTTGCCACGGTTCGAGATGATAAGGATTACCCTGAAATGAGTCGAAGCACACTATGGAAACTTTTAAAAGAAATAAGTTTTCTATGGAAAAAGCATTCCAGAAAGTCTATTTTAATAGAAAGAAGCGATATTGTAGTATGGAGAAGAAATTACCTAAGGACTATAAAAGACATGAGAAACCAAAGAAGAAATATATTTTATTTAGATGAAACATGGACCAACAAGGGACATAAACCAAATAAATTTTGGCAAGATGAAACTGTTACAAGTCGAAGACAGGCTTTTTTAAATAATTTATATACTGGTTTAAATCCACCATCAGGAAAGAGGCACAGACTATACTAATAATAGTACACATCGGTAGTTCAAACGGTTTTGTTAAAGGTGGTTTATTGACTTTTGAATCTACTCGTACCGGTGACTACCATGAGGACATGAATGCTGATGTCTTTAAAGAGTGGTTCGAACAAATTATAGATCTTCTTCCTCAGAACTGTATAATAGTAATGGATAATGCAAGTTATCACTCATAGAAAAAATGCCCACAACCAAGCGGTTAAAAAAAGATTTACAGAATTGGCTAAATTCAAAGAATATTAAGTTCCATCCCGGTTCTGTGATAAAAGAACTGTATCATTTGTGTTCCCTTCATAAAGAGAAATTCAAAAAATATGAAATTAATGAAATTGCAAAAAATCGTGGGATGACGGTGGTTAGATCACCACCATATCATTGCGAAGTAAACCCGATTGAACTGATATGGGCACAGATAAAGGGAGAAGTTTCAAGAAAAAATAATTCTTTTAAAATGAGTGATGTTAAACAGTTGTTTTTGGAGGCTGTAAATAATGTGAAGCCTGAAAACTGGGAAAAAGCAGTAAATCATACGATTAAAGAAGAAGAGAAAATGTGAAAGTTGGACAATATTACTGATGAAATGATCGAGCCACTCATTGTAAATATTGGTTGCGACAGTTCATCTTCCGATTTCGATTCTGATTTGGATTTATATGTAAGAAGTAGTTTTTATATTAAAATTATTATTTATGAACGTAACGTTGTTTAAAAGTCAAAGTTTAAACCCTTAAACCTACATAACCCGTTTGACACAATGTTCTTAACATACCTTGTGGAAAAATAAAACATTTTAGAAAAAATGCACTGTTTTTACCTTCAGCTGTTTAGAAGTTATAAGCAGGTTAATTAGATGAAAATATAAGTGTATACTCGAGGAATAACTTCAAAAAATATTTTAACTGTCTACTAAAAGAAGTGATACGCCTATGGATTACGAACGCTTTATTATTTTAATACTCTCTCATACATAAAAATAGACTATAGGTGTAGATGGTGTTACTTTGGGGTTATGAATGTCTTTTTTTTAGGGTAGTCCGTTTCCTGTAAATGTAAGGACGATAAAGCAACACATTGGTTTGTACCATTGTTGTACATTTTGTTCAAGTAAAGGCAGTAAGGAGGCCACGTGTGGTTGTGCGGGAATAATGCCCGGAGGGTGAGTAATAAAAATAAAATGAAAATAAGTGTACTAGTTAATATACAGGTACTACCCAAACAAATGTAAAACATTTTAAAATTAATTTCTCTTCTACATATAGCTCCTTAGGATAAAATTCGCGGATCCTGAAGAACTGGAGACCTTCAAAACTATCAATATTGACATTGTTGTTAGAATAAAGGAAATAAAATAACATTAAGATCATTAAATTTATGTACCAAACAATTTGACTCTCAAATCGACTTTTTTTTTTAGTTTCAAATTTTTACCTGTATTGTTTTTCACCACTTTTCACTAGTTTTCTATATCTATATTGTATAAAATTGTATTCTCTTTTTGGCAGTTCCAGTGTGAAATTTTTATCTATATTTGTTTCTAGATATTGGGCATTTTTACAAATTTTCACTTGTTTTTTATGTCTCTCCCTTAAATAAAAATTACATTTCATTCTAAATCGATATTAAATCGTGGCCATTTTATGAATTAAATAAATTTCTTAAAATTAGATTTAAAAGGAGAAAGAAACATATTCTTTCGCTCTAGTTGGATTCAATCGTCCCCTCCCCAAAGATTGAAAACCTTAAAACAAAATATTCCATGCCTTGAGTTACTCAACCGTTGGTTTGTCATGTAGTATAGAAGGTGAAGATTTATCCTCACTGAAAAATTCGTTTTTACCTTCTACTATATTTTGAAAACTTTCAGAGTTACTAAATTGTCCAAATTCGATTGGTCACATCAGTTTTTGAAATAATTAGATTGGAAATGAATATGGAGTTTTGTTGATAAAACGAGATTGTGAAAGAGGAAGTCATATTTCTTTTTTCTCCTAGGAAAAATAATTGAGAAGAAACAGAAAAATTTAAATAAATAACCTAAAATGCTTTTTAGACAGATTTTGTTTTTATAGGTACAAAGGTTGTGGACACGGACACGAAGGACACCCAGGACGACGACACTGGTCTTGTTGTGGAAATATTTTAGAACATTCTGAATGTACAAGAACCAAACAATCTAGTTACGAAAACAGTTACAACTTAAATTAATACATACTGTATTAGATTTAATCAATAAAAATTAAAACTACCTATCTATTAACCTTTTTTCCGCAAGTCTGCAAAGTCCGATCCTGTTTAAATTTACTTTTTACAGATCAGACGTCGTAAAAATGGTTTTATTAAAGAATTTCATAATGTATTTAATTTGAACTGAGTTTTATAATCTCAAGTAGTTTGATTGTGTATAAAATGTAATATATGTATAAAATTGTAAGTAACAAAATAAAAACATCCCAAAGTACCCAATAGAGATTGCTTTATAATGTTATTAACCTTTTTTAATAGGTAAATATAAGATTTTTATAGCTGGTTTCTTTTTATGTCTGCCAAAATTTCTTTTGAATTGAACACACTATGAACACACTAAAATAATATGACGTCGGAGAGTAAAGTGATTAAATTAATGTTTCAATGTTGCAATAGTAGCTACTGTGGCGTTTGTATATTTTAAACAGTTTATTATTTATAATATATTTACATACACTACTAATTAATTTTTTTTATATACTAATTTAAATGTCTTTCTTCAACTTCTGTTCTATCGCACTATTTATACAAAATGCTGCGCACCGCACTGTTCTTCAAGCATTCTAGGTATTTCTCGAACGTACTACAAAAGGTAATTAAACGTTAATTATAACTAATTAACGGGATTATTAAAAATTATAACTAATTTTATTACAGTGTTAAAAACATGGAGAAATTAGTAAAAATCTCAGATAGTATGAACTTAAATAATAAAATATTTCGAAAAATTAAAAACGTGTGAAATTTGTCTTCAAGCTAAGCAAACTACAGTATGTTCGCTATACTTACGCGGGTTTCGCATTAAAATTTTTATGAGTATTTCCAGGTAAGTACCCGAAAGTTTGACGAGTTCTTTGGGGAAATATCAACTGGTAAAATATGATCTATGTATAATAAGAGGGTTATTTAGTCCACCAATCTTCTATTAATTTCTTACACTTGGATATACAGTTCCGCCACACTTCTGCAGTTAAAAGTGCTTTTCGCCAAGTTTTCCGAACTGCATCGTCACTATAACCATTAGGCCCAATATGGTTGTCATAATATTGTTTTGCTATTCCCCATATATATTCGATGGTATTAAACTGGCAATGATACGGTGGCAGACGTAAAACTTGATGACCGTAACTTTCAATAATCTTATCCATAACAAAGGTTTTTGGTTTTGGGTGTATATTTGCAAAGCGTAATAATTCTGATTTTAATATATATTGAGGAAATGTTATATGTTCCTTTGTCAACCATTCTTTAATTTTATCAAAAGTCCAAGAATTCGTTGGACTTTTGTTTAATATTCAGAATGGTAAGGTGCATTGTCTAAAATAATTACGCTGGGCTCGCTTAAACCTGGGAGAAGTTTTTCTTGCATTTTAAAAACATTTCTGTGTTCATATTATCGTTTTAGTCACTGGATTTTGATTTAGATGAAAATATTAAATCAGCACCTTCTATAAAACCCGATTTCCCTCCTGCATGTAAAATTATGTGTCGCTTCCCTTCTCCATCGGTATGTTTGATGGACTTTACGTTATCAGCTTGCCATATTCTCTTGGTTGCACCCCTAGAAAATATCCATGTTTCGTCTAAATATATAAAATTCGCCCCTTCTTCTTTAAATTTAGAATATTTTCTTAGAAAGTTAATTCTCTTGTGCACGACAGATCTTCTTTCACAAAGGGCCTTTCTGTTATCCTTCTTTTGAAATTTGAAACCCAAGTTATGTGTCACTTGCCATAGACTTGTTCTGCCAATGTCGTCAAATTTTTCATCTATTAATTCCGAGAGAATTGTATTTAAGGTCACATGTTCCTTGTTGACCCTCATTCGATAAATGGTATCACGAATTTCAAATTTCTTTCCATCTGGAATATCTTTCGTTTTCAGTGAAGGGCGAGTTTTGCGGTGATCTTCTTTCGGCAGTTCACTATTGTGATTTTGTAATACTCCTCTTAATTTGGTTTCACTAATTCCTAGAGCATCGCATACGCGTTGTACAGACATTACCGATTTTAAAGGACCGCCATTTTCTTTTTCATCCGTAAAATACTTATGTACACTACAAATTAGACTATCTACATCTAACACACGTCTAGGTATTTTTAAAATTTCCACTAAATTTACAATATACATACAAAGTCAACACTTACAAAGAATCAATTCAACTGCAATATTTGTAACAAATTTAGTACCTACCCTAATGTTATTTTAATTTAAATCTGACCATTAGGTCAATTTTACCTAATTTCTTGGGAAGAGGCTTATTGGGACTGGTTGTCAATGACTAATTTGCATAATTTTGTTAATCCGAAACCCGCCTAAGTATAGCGAACAGAATGTAGATTACACTTTAATACCATAAAAGAGACAATAAGACCTCTAGAAAATATACATAGATATGAGGTCCAAATGATCCTGTAACATGGAATGAAAAGAAATATTCCTTAACAGTATTAGACGATTACACACATTTCTGTAGAATTTTCAAGTAAAGACTTTAAAATGACTATATTTGACAAAGTAGTTACGTTTTTTGGGAATTAAAATAACAGAGGGCCAAGAAAACTTAAAACTAAATCAAAAAACCTATGTGGTAGCAGTCTTAGAAAAGTTTGAAAGAACTTATGGAAATGAACACGAAAACAATAACGGTAGAATTCCATATCGAGAAGCTCTAGGTAGCCTACTATATCTATCGAATAAAATTAAACCGGATATTTCGTTTGCAGTTGGCTATAGAAGTAGAAAATTGGAAAATCCTTCAGATACTGTAAAACGAATAATGAGGTACTTAATATTTACATAATAAAATGGTTTGCTTTATTATAGATCTACCTAAAAAACTTATGACTTCATAGAGGACACTGAGTAGAGAAAGAGTACAACTGATTTTATTATCTATTTTAGCTACACATTCTAGCAATTGAAGTTTAAATTACTCCTCACCCGTCGTATTCACCAGATTTAGTAGCATGTGAGTTATTTCAAAACCTAATAAAATTAATTTGGAGTAGCAATCATCGTAATAACATTCATCAACTTTGTATATGATTTTTAGGGAACTACTAATCAAACAGTCCTGATATTAAAAAATACAAAAGATTTACAATTGTAAATCATTTTAATATATTTACGGATGAGAATGTTTTAACAGAAAGTATTGTATGATATTACGCAATGTAATTTTCTGTTTCAAACTAAACTTTTTTGTTGAAAGAAATGTCTTATTTTATTTAAATATAAACAGAATAATAAATATTTTATGACCTACTAAAATTTATTACTTACAGATCGCAATGTAGAATAAAGATGTGTCATTTTAATTGAGCAGTAAATCTCTGATCGATAAATTTTAATGGCTCTACCAGGGTTTACAAATATTTTATCGTTCTAATTTTATTTGTCTACGAAAATATGGAAAATTTCTAAAAAATATCCTTTGGAATTAAATATGGTGCACAATTAACAAACAACAACCAAAAATTATGATTTTTAATATTCCACCCCAGCGTTTTTGTATATTTTTTTTTTAGAAATCTTGTCATTGTTTCGTGGGAATTTAAAAATTGTGTTTTATCAACCTACTCAAGAAATAGATGGTCAAAAAGACGTGGTATACCTTATACACATATTTAAAAAGAGCCTACCGACGGCTCTGTTTATTGTGATTCATTTTTGTGTTTTGCGAAGTGTTTCCAGATCACTTATCTGCTTTATCTAAACGCAATTATTATTGCATCCATTTAATCAAATAAAACATGTGTGATGAGTATAAATAGTATTTATCTTGAATTAAATATATTTGTCACAATGATATTTGCTGCAATTTAATTAAAACAATATAAAAGTTTATTACCTAACCAAATATTTTTAGTTCGTAAAGATAAGCTCATTAGGAAACAGTAGTATTATTATACTATTAAGAATACTGTATATTGTATAAAATTGTATTTTCTTTTGGATTGTTCTAGTTTCAATTTTTTACAAAAAGGGCATTTTTTCACATTTTCACTTCTTTCTAATGTCTCTCCCTTAAATAAAAATTATATTTAATTCTAAATCAATATTAAGAACACTTTATATTGTACAAAATTATATTTTTTTTTTCAAAATTCTAGTTTCAAATTTTTATCTCTATTCGTGTTTATATGTTGGACATTTTTCCAAAATTTCATTTGGTTTTTATGTCTCTCCTTTAAAGAAGTTCTAGACTAAGAAAACACCAAAACAATATCGCAACTACACGTAAGCAAATATTTAGAAATATTCTTATTATGAAAATGCTATCTTAAAACCCAACTCAACTTTTTTCTTAGGTTAGAAAACGATTTTCCATTCGAAGTAATGCAAGACGTCACTTTAAATTTCTATCTCTTAATGTCAGATGATTTTAATAAAACGTATGTCTCAAATTAGCTCGGTTTTAAATTGGCACCAGTACAGTTTTAAATACTAAAAAAATTAGGGCTTTTAAATACTATAAAAAATGGTGGAGAGTCCTCCCGATTTTTCTCCTATTGGAACCATTGTTATACCCTTGACTGCGCATGTTTTCTACTTTAAGCCTATTTTTCTCTAGCTCTTCTAGTAAAACCTCCAACAATTTCTTAGCTGTTGGTGTTGATCTCTCAATGGTATTTGAACATCTCATTTAATCTATGTTGTTATTGATGGTTTATAAATATCATTGTTTTTTTATAATAATAAAAAATTGTTATAAACACAAAATGGTCCGTATCTCCGAAACCGTTAATTTGCGGTCATATATTTATTAAGACTTTTCTGCTTATTTTGGTTCATACTATTCACCGTTTCATTTTGTGACACTTTTTTTTAACACCCTGTATATTATATATGCAGCATATTTATATGACGTGAGTCAATTCTTAGATCCACAAATGACTAAGAAACAGATTGTAGGATGTATTGATAAGCATGTTAAAGATGAAATCTTAGCACAAATAACATTTCAAGGAATTAGTAATGTAATTTAAAAATAATCCAGC